ATGATAGACTCCTTCTCTAAAACTTTTAGAGCGAATCTTATTCTGAAGAGTGAACTCTCAAAGATTGAAAATTGAGCTACTCTTTTTCAAAACTAGTTCAATTTTCATTTTTTAAAATGAAACTAAAGAATTCAGAAAAAATGTATTTTATTTTCCAAATTTTGTAAAGTTCTTCTGGTAGCCTGGAAACGCGTAATCAACGATATTATGTTCCGTTACCTGATCGTTATCAAGTTTATGAATATAGAAGCCACCTGTCTATACGTAGCTACGCGCTGCACTGTATACTTGCATAATTACGGTAGCGAAGCGCACGATCTTAAGGCGCGCAATCGTAAATGGGAACGTAAAAGCATGTTCTTACGATCGTATTTCGTTTTCTATCGAAGACATGCTTTTATCGGCAGTTACCGGGAATGCGCTATTAGGCTCGTCAGATTCTCTCGGCTATCTCGAACCAGGCGCCGCAACGCTGGGATTCACTATCACGCCCCATTCGATTAACCCACGATCAAAGCCAGCCGTCTTGTATTCCTCTGATAAAGGATCAATTTGCTGCTAACGAAAATATCGAAAATATTTTTGGTAGCTCTTAGAAAAAACTCTGTAATCCTTAATTTTCTATCGAAGAATGTCCTTTGGAAGTTCATTGGTTAAGTCCCGATTCTATTTTTTCTAATACGTTAAAAGCGTCTTAGCCAAATAAATTTGCATAACAAATACGAGCAAAGAATTTAATCAATCAAATGTAAAAGAATGCTGTTATATTATTCATATTTTATTGGATAATGCGGCTGTACAAGTCTAGGTAAATTTATAAATTTATAAATTTTAGAAGTTCTACGTGTTTTTGCAATGTATAAGTGAATATGATTTAACGAAAAACAAGTACTCAGTGGAAATCAAATTATTCAAATTATTGGTGATGCGCGTTGAAAGATAAAATACCAAAAATAAAATACCACCTTCTTACCGAATCTTTTATCTACCAAGCAATCATTCGTTCAAGAAAAGTAGCTTCGCAGCTGTTATAAAATTCTTTAATATGATTAGTTTAGATTCCGTGAGGGACTAAAAGCCAAAATCAATCATCATCTCAATTAAGCCATCATCACACTATAAATTGTTAGTTGAAGTTCCTGATTATATTTTAATCAATCATGCAGTTAGTCCGTATGCTGAAATAGAATCATCAACCAATAATCGTAACCAGCAACCTGTAGTGTGATTACAGCCTTAAAGAATTTTACAACAATTACAAAGCTGTTTTCTCTATTTACGCAGCTATTAACTACATGATCGATGGTATCATTGAGAGGTATCCCTGTTTCTCATTGAGAATTCACGATC